TGAGGAGGGCGGTCGCGCCCTGCGCAGGCCGCAGTAAACAGGTTGCGAGGGTATCATGACTTTGCCTTGGGCCAGGACGTAGAGGAGCAGCGTGGGCGCAGATGTGGCAGGGAGGACAGGCCCCGAAGGTAGCACCACCACCACCTCCTCCTCCTCTTCCTCCTCCTCCTCCTCCTCGTACTCCTCCTCCTCCTCCTCCTCATCCTCCTCCCCTCCTCCTCCTCCTCCTCATCCTCCTCCTCCTGCCCACCTCCTCCTCCTCCTCCTCCTCCTCCTCCTCCTCCTCCTCCTCCTCCTTCCCCCCCCTCCTCCTCCTCCTCCTCCTCCTCCTCCTCCTCCTCCTCCTCCTCCTCCTCCTCCTCCTCCTCCTCCTGCTCCACCTCCTTCTCCTGCTCCACCTCCACCTCCTGCTCCTCCTCCTCCCCTGGTTTTTTGTCAATCCGGCGGTGATTCCTCGATTTCGGCCTCCGGGGCCTGCTGTAGGGCGGGGGCCATGAGAAATGGATCCAGGACGAAAAACCACCCTGGGGAAGGGGTCGGGACCTCTGGGGCCGCGGATTGCAAATATCTGATCGGAGGAAAACCGGGTTGCTTGTCCTCGGCAAGCACCTGCGGCCGCTGGAAGACGCCGACAGCAGCGCGCCCGCTGCCTTGGGGGAGCCGGCGAGCAGCCTCACCGAAGCAGGGGGGAAGCTGCACGCGCTTTGGGGGAGGCTGCGGAAGGCTGGGCGCCAAAAGCAGGCGGCGGCAGCCCTATTCCACTCACGCTGGCCCAGCAAGCCAACACACCTTGCGGACGGAGCTCGCCACGGACACCGCGACACAGCAGTGCGACGACCTGCTCACGGGCTGCTGACGGGACCTCCTGGAGCGGGGCATGGGCGACGCAGCTAGGGAGTTCCTCTGCCTCCCAGCCAGGTTCGGAGGCCTGGACGCGCAGCTGGCCAGCACGCGCAGCCACGCGACCTTCCCGACCTCCCGGGCGGCGGCGACGCTGGAGGTCACGGAGGACCAGGGCTGCGGGGCGCTGGCGGCACTAGTCAACGGCGGGGCGCGGGCTGCAGGCCCAGGGGCTGGAGCTCGCCGCGGGCGGCGACCTGGCAGCCGCGCTGCAAGACGCCCCTGATGAGGCAAGCCCTGGCCAGGGAGTCGACGCCAAGGAGACAGCGCGCAGCTCTGCTGCGACGCCTGGCAGCCGCGCTGCAAGACGCCCCCGATGAGGCAAGGCCTGGCCACGGAGACGATGCCAAGGAGGCAGCGCGCAGCTCTGCTGCGACGCTGCACTTTCCCCCGACGGGCCGAGCTGCGCGGCGCAGCAGCGGAGCGGCAGCGAAGCCGCCCTCGCCTCCCCAGGAGACGCCGCTCCGCGGGCCGGAGGACGCCCCCTCGGCGCGCGGCGACAGCTGCAGCTCCCGCGCGCGGAGCTCTGCCAGCAGGAGCTGGCGACGGCGGGGGCCGGCGGCTGTTTGCGCGGCGCTGGCGGAGCTCTGCTGCGCCAGGGCGCTGGACGAACAGGGCGACCGCACCCTCCCTTGCCAGCATTGGCGGGGGCGCGGTGGCGCGCCACGGGGGACTCTCAACCAGAAGAGCCAGCGGCCTCGTCCAGCGCAGGCGCGGCGAGGGGCCCCCTCCTCGAGCAGAGGGCGCCGCCGCGGGGCAGCCACCGCCCAGACGGCCGCCTCGAACGCGCAATCCTGGACCTGGAATGCCGGGACGGCGGCGGCCGGCGCGCCACCCCGCAGCTGGGCCCCAAGCTGAGCCGCGGGTGGCCGCGCGGCGGGACGGGGAGGCCAGCCGCCGCGGGGAGCGAGACGAGCGCTCCCGCTGCCCCGGCGCCAGGCTGGCGGTGTTCTGTTTCGAGGCGAGAGGGCGGCTCGCTGCCGAGGCCTGCCCCTGGCTGCTCAGGCAGGTGCGTCCGCTGCCCGAGGACCAGCAGCCGCGGAAGCTGGCGCGGCCCTAGTGGCTCGGGAGCTGCGGCTTGCAGGCCGCCGCAGCGCGCCAGCTCCGTCAGGCGGCTGGCCTGCGCCAGGCGGAGCCGCGCGGCTGGCGGCCCGCGGCCGCCGCAGCGGGCAGTGGCGACGCCGGCTGCGCGCCGCTTGCCGGACGCCCCAGGAGACGGGCGCCGCCCAGGGCCAGGCCTGGCCGCTGCTAGCCGGCAGGGCGCTGGCGTTTGCCGCTGGAGCTGCTGGCGGGGCCTGGCGACGGCTGGCGCTTCTGGGTAGCGCTGCTAGCGGCCCTGGCGGGCGCAACCCCACCTCTGGGAGCGACCGCCGTTCAGGCCCAGACCGAGCGGCGGATGCTCTCGGAGAGGGCATCGGCTCCCAGCCAAGCTTCGCCCAGACGGACTCCCCTCCTCCTCCTCCTCCTCGTCCTCCTCCTCCTCGCCTCCTCCTCGTCCTCCTCCTCCTCCTCCTCCTCCTCCTCCTCCTCCTCCTCCTCCTCTTCCTCCTCCTCCTCCTCCTCCCCCTCCTCCTCCTCCTCCTCTTCCTCCTCCTCCTCCTCCTCCTCCGCCCCTGCCTCCGCCTCCGCCTCCCCCGCCCTCCTGTCTACCTTCTCGTCGTCGTCTTGCCCCCGCCCCCCGCGACAACAGCGGAGCTGCCTCGCGCTGCAGCGGGCAGCCGGACAGGGAGGCCCGCGGGCGCAGACGGCGCCGAGTCGTCGTGCCTCCCTGGCGCTAGTCGCCAGTCTTTGAAAGCACGGCAGGTTCGCGTCGTCTCGACCGCCGGCGACCCCGCCGCCCGCGTTCAACGTTGAGCGCCGCCGGCGACCCAGAATCGGTCGACGTTGCACGGTTTGACGTTTCGGTCCACGGCCGGTCGTTCAAGGTTGAACGATCCTTATCATCGTCGCCAACAATGGTTCATTCTCAGCCATCCCATCGTGATCCTCCTCCTCTACTGCTCCCCCTCCCTCCCTCCCTCCCTCTCCTCATACTGTGGCCCCCCCGAATCATTCTCACCTTCCAGCTTCAAACCTTCTCCGCATCATCGTCATCATCATCAGCAGCATCATCATCATAATCATCGTCATCATCATCGTCATCAGCATCCGCATCATTGTCATCATCAGCAGCAGCAGCAACAGCAACATCAGCATCAGTTTCAGCATCTGCATCCGCATCAGCATCATCATCATCAGCAGCAGCATCAGCAGAAGTAGCAGCCGTAGCAGCATATCATTTCTATTTCTTCCTCGGATGGGAGGAGAAATAGAAGAAGAATGGTACCAAGTCAAACGCCGGGAGACTGTAATGAGGGAGTCGGCGGGAGAGGGGCACCGTAGACGCGCTAACGGTGTGTTAGTCAACAGCGAAGTAGGACAATCAATTGTAGGGAGGCATGGTTCGTGGCCAAACCAACTGTAGGAAGGTGTGGCTTGTGGCTTCCTGCAACTCACTGCGTCGTCTTCGTTCGGTACATTCACATATCCGAAACGTAGGAAGCGGTGTTTCGCGATGTCCTACCATCTGTTCTGCGCGAGCTCGGCGCCACAAAGGTCGGCTTCCCAACACCGCCGTCCACCGACATCGCCGGCAGCAGGGTGGACGAAGACACCAGGACGCTGGAGGTCCACGACGTGGGCGCCATTCGAGGGCCCTGCGGGCTGCTCGAGCTGGCCGCGTGCGTGTCGATGTGACTGGAGAAGGCAAGAGGAGGAGGAGGAGGAGGAGGAGGAGGAGGAGGAGGACGAGGAGGAGGAGGAGGAGGAGGAGGAGGAGGAGGAGGAGACCGGCGTGGCCGTCTGGACACGAGCTAGGTGCACAGGGGGCAGCATGTCGCACAGTATTAGGAAGGCCTGACCGCCTGTGCCCTCGACCACGAAGGCGGACGACGACGACGACGGCGACGGCGACGGCGACGACGGCGACGGCGGCGACGGCGACGGCGACGGCGGCGGCGGCGACGACGGCGGCGGCGGCGGCGACGCTGACGCTGTGGGGCCCCTCTTGGGGCTCTCTTGGGAGCCTCTTGGGCTCTGTTTGGGGGCCTCTCGGGGTACTCCTTGGGAAGCTCCGTGGTCACGCGGAGCCGCCGCCTCGGAGCGGATCTGAGGCCTCGCGGGGGCATGTGGGAAAATGCGCAGCTCCTGGCAGCAGCAGACAAGAGTTAGGGGGGTGCCTCCGGGAGGGGGGGTCCGGGAGGAAGAGGTGGTGGTGGCGGTCCCCGTGTCCACAAGGGGTGGGCTGGGGGAGGGATCCTGCTGTCCCGAGCTCCCTTGCCAACAGGGAGACCACCCCCCGTGCCCCCTTCTCCACCAAGGGGGGCCGCCCGGGTGGCGGAGGGGTCACAACCCCAGGGACCTTCCCTGGAACCCCCCCCCCCCCAGGGGACCCCCATCCCCCCCCCAGGATCCCCCCCACCCCCACCCCCAAGGACCTCCCCCCGGGAACCCCCCCCGGGGCCCACCCTGTTTGGCAGGGAAGGTTCAAAGGGAAGGTTGTTGCTCCAAGGCCAGGGGGCGCACGACATGAGACCGACGTGGCTGCCTGGACACCATCCGGGTACACAGAGAGTCGCACGCCGTCCAGTGTGGGGAAGGCCTTGCGGGCGGTGCCGCCGACCCTGAAGGGGGGACGACGACGACGACGACGACGACGACGACGACGACGACGACGACGACGACGACGACGACGACGACGACGACGACGACGACGACGACGACGACGACGACGACGACGACGACGACGACGACGACGACGACGACGACGGCGGCGGCGGCGGCGGCGGCGGCAGCGGCGACGACGACGACGACGACGACGACGACGACGACGACGACGACGACGACGACGGCGGCGGCGGCGACGGCGACGGCGACGACGACGACGACGACGACGGGCATGGCGTTCCAGCATGCGGGCCTCTGCCGGCCCGGCTGCGGCGGCCCTCCGGGCGCGTGGCCGGCGCCCGGTCTCCCGCGGCGGCCCTCCAAGGCGCGGCGCCCCTCGGCGGGGGCAGCGCGCACATCGCGCGCGCGCCGTCCGGGGAATCGCTCGCGGCGAGGAAGCTGGATGATCCCGTCGAGCGAGGTGAAGCTCGGGGAGGAGCTGAGCAGGACGGCGCGGGAGGGGGAGGGGGAGGAGGGGAAGGAGGAGGAGGAGGAGGAGGAGGAGGAAGAGGAAGAGGAAGAGTGAGAGTGGGAGGAGGAGGAGGAGGAGGAGGAGGAGGAGGACCAGGAATAGCAAGAAGAAGGACGAGGATGAGGAAGAGGAGGCAGAAGAAGGAGGAGAAGGAGGAGGAAGAGCAGGAAGAGGAGGAATAAGGACGAGGAGGACGAGGAGGAGGAGGAAGAGCAAGAAGGGGAAGAAGTAGGAGGAGGAGGAGGAATAGGAGGAGGAAGAGCAAAGCAATGTATGAGGGTAGGGCAGGACAGAGGAGGGGAAGAAGGGTAAGGAGGAGGGCGAGAGGGCCGGGAGAGAAATGGAGGAGAAGGGAGCAGGGGAAAGTCTTGGACCAGGAAGCGGATGAGGAGGAGGAGGAGGAGGAAGAGGAGGGTCATCTAAATATTTATGCTTCATTACTAGTTTTATATATTGTGTGTTGTAACACTCGTATTATTAGCATGTCCCTGAGTATTATTATTAGTATTAGTGGTATTGTTATTGGCATTGTATTTCGTATGTCTGTTATTATTATGGTTTGTTCTCTTCCTTCGAGGTTGTGATCGGTCTCATACCCTCTTCTCGCTACGGTCTGCTGTCCTCCTACCTTTCACTGTATACCTCGAGGCAGCGGCTCCTGGAGCGATCGCTCCAGGGGTCGCCTGGCTCGTGGTGTGGGTACCCCGCAGGCAGCACCCGCAGGGAACTCTTCCCATCAGGAGCCAGGGACCAGGGACCAGGAGGAGGAGGAGGAGGAGAAGGGAAAGGAGGAGAAGGAGAAGGAGAAGGAGGAGGAGGAGGAGGAGGAGGCGAAGAAGGAAAGAAGGGGAGGAGTAGGAGGAGGAGAAGGAGGAGGGGGAGAAGAAGGGGAAGGAGGAGAAGGAGAAGGAGAAGGAGGAGGAGGAGGAGGAGGAGAAGGGGCATGAGGAGGAGGAGGAGGAGGAGAAGTAGGAGAGGGAGGAGGAGGAGGAGCGAGATGAAGGTCGCCTGTCGCCTACTAGTTACCTGTTCCCTTGTGTATTTTGCCAGCAAGCCCTTGACTATATGCTTTGGTGGTGGGCGGGTGGGGTTGATATGGTGGGGGGCGATGTGTTTCGCGGCTTAGCTTACCCGTGCGGCTGATGCCCATTGGGATCTGGGACGAACATTTGGCAAGCCAGCTCACGTCACCACCTCAGTTGACTGCTTACTGTGCACGCGTAGCTCGATCCCTCTTGTTCGGCTTCCTCCTCGTATGTATGATAACTTATCTTGATTATGCCTCCTCTCTCACTCATACACGGCCTGGCTGGCGTACACTCTATGCCCTTGTGGGCCCGCTTTATTTTTCTTTGCCTCTCGCGCCTTTCTTGCTTCCTACTACACCCTCCCCATGCGTAACTTGTTGGCCTCATGGTCTAAGTCGGCAGGCATTGATCTTACACGAACGCTACAGCCACGACGCCCAAGTTCGCTCACCGTGAAAATGCGTAGGGAGATGCAGGACCACCAGTACGAGACCGTTCATGTGCACAGTGCACAGGTTAGCCATCAGGCCGATGTATCTTCTCTTGTTGAAGGCCTTCCCTAAGGGCTGTGGGGATTGCCGTGTGACCGATCACTCCGGTCAGAAGGTGATTGCACACAGCACAGTCGAATCTTTTTGGGCCGATCGTCTCGATGTCTTGGCCATGGGCAGCAGCCGAGAGAGCATGCCAAGGGCATACAGTCGGGGCCCTGAAGAAGGAACCCTTTTGGTTGGGGAGGGGCTCCGCGTTCCTTAAGTGTTTCGCAGTTCGCCTTTGGTTTTGCTTAGGGTTTCGATCGGAAATCGAGGTTTAATGTTTGGGAAAATGGGGCCTCGTTCCTTCTTTAGGGTTCCTGAGGTCAACGCCCCGACTGTAGTCTCGATGTCTTGGCCACGGGCAGCAGCCGAGAGAGCATGCCAAGGGCATAAGGGGAACCCATGTTTCACAGCTTGCTTCAGGGTGTCCTTCTGTCTTCGATGGGAAACCGAAGTTAAACTTATCTAAAAAAAGGGGCCTCGTTCCTTCTTTAGGGTTCCTTAGGTCAACGCCCCGACTGTAGTCTCGATGTCTTGGCCACGGGCAGCAGCCGAGAGAGAGAGCATGCCAAGGGCATAAGGGGGAACTCTCCGCCGTGCCTCCTGCAGAGACGCAAAGGCGCCCCTCCTCCTCCTCCTCCTCCTCCTCCTCCTCCTCCTCCTCCTCCTCCTCCTCCTTCGCTCCTCCTCCTCCTCCTCCTCCTCCTCCTCCTCCTCCTCCTCCCTCCTCCTCCTCCTCCTCCTCCTCCTCCTCCTCCTCCTCCTCCTCCTCCTCCTCCTCCTCCTCCTCCTCCTCCTCCTCCTCCTCCTCCTCCTCCTCCTCCTCCTCCTCCGCCCCTCTTCCTCCTCCTCCTCTTCCTCCTCCTCCTCCTCCTCCTCCTCCTCCTCCCCTCCACCTCCTCCTCCTTGAGCGCCTCGGGTTATCTCCTCGGGTTCCCGAACCTCTTTAGCCGCCCGGTCCGGAGCCCGTGCGGCCGAAACCGCGGATCCCAGCAGGAGGAGGAGGAGGAGGGAGAGGAGGAGGAGGAGGAGAGCAGCAGGAGGAGGGGGACAGCAGGAGGAGGGGAGGAGGAGGAGGATGAGGAGGAGGAGGAGGAGAGGGAGAGAGGAGGAGAGGAGGAGGAGGAGGAGGAGGAGGAGGAGAGGAGGAGAGGAGGAGGAGGAGCGGAGGAGGAGGGGGGGCGCGGGGGCGATCGCTTGGGTTAGGGGAAGAGACACTGGCACAGACATAGAAGAGCTCGGAGCTCCGCGCGAGCCTCCGAGGTTTTTTGGGGTTGACGTCATTGCTTGGTCTTCTACGGGGGGCCAGGATGAGCTTGTCTGGCGCCGACGGGATTTTTGTTGGCCGGTTTCGGCCTCGGGGGGCCTTCGGCGGGCCCAGGGACCGTCCAAGAACTGCTCGGGATGAAAGACCGGCCCTGGGGGATAAGGTCGGGACCCCTATGGGGATCCCCATAGGCGGATCCCCATAGGGGTCCGCCTTGGAAAAGTAAAGACAGCGGATGTTTGGGCTGGGTTTCCCCAAACAACGTCAGCAGTAAGACGTTCACAGAGACGGGGAGGGCAGACTGATGCGGTAGGGCAACGGACGGTCCCGTCGTTTCGAGCCTTCGGACACGCGCGATAGCCACATGTTCTGGCCCCTGTACATCCATCGAGTGCATCTCTTCCGTGGCTGACAAGAACTGGGTGCCAGAGCACTGGCTTTCAGTCGTCCGTTAGGAGATGTGGTCTCAGGGACCGCTCCGGGGAGCGCCCAACTAAACACAACTCCTCGCGTCCTCCTCTTGTGTGACGCGCCGTGGCGTGCGTAGGACTCTAAAGAGCGTCATATATTCCGCCGAGTGGAGGGGCACCAAGGTGGTCGCCAAGTCCCTGCAGGCCCGCTGCAGACGACGGGGGCGGGAGATGCCAGCGTGATGCCAGACGCCCCCCCCTCCTCCTCCTCCTCCTCCTTCTGCCCCCTCCTTCTAACTCCTCCTTCTGCCTCCTCCTGCCTCCTCCGCCTCCTCCTCCTCCCTCCTCATCATCATCATCATCCTCCGTCTTCCCTTCCTCCTCCACCTCAGCACCTCAGTATCGTAACTGTCCGCCGTCCCCTACTTTAGACCGCGTGGCAGGTTTCTCGCATTGGCCAGACCCCACTCCCCTGGGGGCTGAGGTGTGTGAGCCTGACCCGCGGCCTAAAGTTACATCCTAGACTAGCCTCCTCCTCCTCCTCCTCCTCCTCCTCCTCCTCCTCCTCCTCCTCCTCCTCCTCCTTCCTCCTCCCCCTCCTCCTCCTCCTCCTCCTCCTCCTCCTCCTCCTTCACACCTCCTCCTCCTCCTCCTCCCTCCTCCCTCCTCCTCCTCCTCCTCCTCCTCCTCCTCCTCCTCCTCCCTCCTCCTCCTCCTTCACCTCCTCCTCCTCCTCCTCAGCACCTCAGTCGCGTAACTGTCCGCTGTCCCCTACTTTAGGCCGCGTGGCAGGTTTCTCGCATTGGCCAGACCTCACTCCCCTGGGGGCTGAGGTGTGTGAGCCTGAGCCGCGGTCTAAAGTTACATCCCAGATTATCCTCGTCCTCCTCCTCCTCCTCCTCCTCCTCCTCCTCCTCCTCCTCCTTATCATCATCATCATCATCATCATCATCATCATCATCAGCAGCAGCATCATCATCATCATCAGCATCATCATCATCATCATCATCAGCATCAGCATCAGCATCAGCATCATCATCATCAGCATCATCATCATCCTATGTCTCCTCATCCTCTTCCTGCTTCTCCTCCTCCTCCACCTCATCCTCCTCCACCTCCTCCTCCTCGATCTCCTCCTCCTCCGAATCCTCCTCCTCCCTCTCCATCCTCCTTCTCCTCCTTGTTCCCATTCCTCCTCCTCCTCCTCCTCGACCTCCGTCTCCTCCTTATCCTCATCATCTTCATCATCAGCATCATCATCATCATCCTCATCAGTATCATCATCATCATCATCATCATCATCATCATCATCATCATCATCATCATCATCATCATCATCATCATCAGCATCATCATCAGCATCAGCATCATCATCATCAGCATCATCCGTCTCCTCATCCGCCTTCACCCTCTCGTTCTCATCCTCATCCTCCTCCTCTTCCTCATAAGTGTGCCTCCTCCTTCTGCCTCATCCTCCTCCCCCTCCTCCTCCTCCTCGTCCTCCTCCTCCTCCTCCCTCCTCCTCTTCCTCATCCTCCTCCTCCTCAGCACCTAAGTATTGTAAATGTCCGCTGTCACCGACTTTAGGCCGCGAGGCAGGTTTATCGCATTGGCCAGACCCCACTCCCCTGGGGGCTGAGGTGTGTGAGCCTGACCCGCGGCCTAAAGATACACCCTAGACT